TGATAGTCAGTCTCAGCTGTGGAGATAAAACGCTGCAGCTGCACCTGGGGTCTTCGGAGCCATCAAGGGGTTTTTTCTCAGAGTCACCCTGAACACAGGCAGACTCAAGAGATGAGAGAATTTTGGCAGTTGGTTGAGTTGAGGGATGTGCTCAAGTGTGTGTGTTGTTAACGAAAAAGGTGTTCACCGACACTTGTTAAAGGCAGTAAGCAGAGTTTATTTAGGACTGTTGAGGTAGGTATGAGGACCACTGCCATAGGATTTTACAGTGGGGGAGAGGGATTGGGCTCAACTCTGAACACAGCCTGGACAAGTGGGAACTTATAGTCGAGGAGCAAAGTGTGTGTGTGTTAGGGAGGTGGTCAGTAGATGGAAAATTACTAACAGAAAACATCAAGGGTAAGGGAGATTCTGGGTAAATTGACCTGACTGGACTTTTACTGAAGACAAGGGTGATTAGGTGTCATCTGGGGGATGGTGGAGGATGTGAAACCCAATCAGATATGGAGGTCAGATATCAAGAATGGAGGGCTCTGGTTAAACTGACTTTTTAAGCAAGGTTCTTGCTGAAACTGCATTTTACAAAGAAGTACACAGACGGGTCTAGGAAAAGATTCAGGAGTCCAATTCCAGTTTGGTCAACAAAGAATCTTTATCATTGTGTATGTGTGTGCTTGTGTGTATGTGTTTGTACATATGTGTATCTGTGTGTGTACATCTCTGTGTGTGTATATATATCTCTGTGTGTGTGTGTGTGTGTGTGTGTGTGTGTGGTAGGGGGCTGGTGGGTAAGAAATTAACAGGGAGTAGAGTCGGTAGAGCAGGTCTCTAGGGAGAGGAGTGCTAGTGATGCACCACAATTTTTGGGAATAAATGATGAAACAGTGGTGGTACAATAGAAATTAAAAGAGAAACAGGAAAGAACTGATTCTAGGAAGAATTTTCAGTTGTGCCTTCAGGAAGTCTTTGTAGAATTTGCATTCACCAGTGATATCTGTTCTTCTGAATTCATATTTCCTTCTTTGCTATGTTAATTGCACTTCTTACCACATATCATCACGGTAATTTCTGTACGTGTACGACTCCCGCTAACTCAGTTTGAACTTGCTCAGTGCAGGAGCCGGCTTTGTGTCACTGAGGAGTCTCTTGTACAGACACTCAGTAAATGTTTGCAGATCAAATGAATGCATTTCAGCACCTTCTTTCTGAATTTTGTTGATGTTGTTGGGAAAACTTGTAATTAGTAGAGTCAACATTTCAGTATTCTAAGTGGTTAATAATCATATAATTAAAATGCTAACATGATAAGTGGTAAACATCTTGAGTTTCAAAGACTTTTGATATATCCATGTCATCACTGGCTTTATAAACACATGATTTTAGTACACTAATACTAACCTAGCCTCTGTTATAATGTTTTTGCTGGAAAAATAGATTTTAGAATACTTGCTTCATCTAACAAGGCTGTGATGATGAATATTTCAAAGCCCTTTAAGAAGTCAGTCGTGAAAGGCTGATGTTATCAAGTACATTTGTTTGAGATTTTACTGTTGTTATAATAGAGAAAAATATCCATGCACACCTATCTATAAACCCTTCCAAAAATACAAGAGAATTTCAGTATATGTATTTAAGCATTTTATTCTTTCTTTTAAAAGGTCTTTGTGGCAATGATGACAATGAAGCTGAAGGTACTCATAATTATAAGAATAGCTTCTGTAGCCCTTTATAATTTATAAAGCTCCATGTATTATCTCTGACTCAACAGTTCAGTAGGAGTGGGGACAAGCTCTTTATAACCTTAAGTTACTGTTAAAGAACAAAGAATCAAAACAAACTGCAAAGTCATTTTAATGCAAATGTATTTATTTAGCTTTATACCCAGTGTTCTGAAATACATTTATTTGATCTTCAGAAGGCATCTGGAAATTTAGAAAAAATACAAATGAAGTAGTTATTAAGCATTCCATACGTTTCCACAAGATGACGGTCCTATTATAGCCTATTATTGTCTATTGCTTGGATGAGCCTTCTGTTCACAACTCTGGGAAGGCAACTGGGCAGAGAGCAGTCTTGCCTTCCCCTCCCTCCTTCCTTTTCCCTCTTCATCTACTTCCTGCACCCCTCCCCCAGGTCTGACTGCTGGTTGTTGGCACCCCATTTCCTGGAAGGTCCCCCTGAGCCTCTGTGGGATGTAGCCCAGGGTGGGGGTGTGCTTACTTATCAGATTGGTGAAGAGGGGCGCCCTGCTCGAGGCAGAGGATTCGCAAATGTCTATTAATATCATATAGTATATCATATCATATATCATATATCATGTATCATATCATATCATGTCATACATCATATAATATAGGAAACAACAGAACTCATCTAAGAGGAGATGTTTTGCTGATTTTAAGGTTATTGTACATTTTCCCATGAAGATGCCTATGTGTTATTATCTTATGCTCTGACTAATCCAGAAACTGGTTCATTGGTCCCTAGATGATCCCAAGTTGACTGCATTAAGATTTAAGATCATATTAAATTTTCACATTGCATAATGAGTGTGAGCAGCAGGTGGAATCCAGAACCTTTGCTATCCCTCCTACACCTTTGGTAGTTTCCATGTTTGCATTCTTTGTAGTAAAAGAAGGTCCAGCCCAGAACATTGTGGGCACCCATGTTTCCATGCTTACCATACAGTGTTCTAATTCTGGTTTTGGAGCTTCTTTTGTCACTGGATTATGAGCTCCTGGTGGGTAGGGTTGGCTTCTTTTTCATTTCTGTTATTCCAGGGGAAGATATCTTATATAAGTAGGAAAGCAATACAGTTTTACTGAATGGATGATTAAAATGAATGTGCACTCATGAAAGGATGTGTTTGGCAGAGAGTCATTTAAAATTTCATGTGCTAAGTTTCTTCAGTCATGTCTGACTCTGTGCAACTCTATGGACCATAGCCTGCCAGGCTCCTCTGTCCATGAGGATTCTCCAGGCAAGAATACTGGAATAGGTTGCCATGCCCTCCTCCAGGGGATCTTCCTGACCCAGAGATTGAAATCAGGTTTCTTATGTCTCCAGATTTTGATAATTCATATTGCAAAGTTAAGTCTTGTTTATTTGCATGCCATTAATTTGAAAGGTAGATATGACAAAAAGTTATAAATAAGTATTAAAACCACTCCTTTCAAAATCACAAACATATTCTAATAAAATGTTCTTTTGTGGTACTGCCAATAGGCATTATTTACCATTATAATTTATGGAGTACTCAAAAGAATTTTATTTTATTGAAAATGTTTTTGGTTTGTGTCTTTTTAACTTTAGAGGAGTTAACCTCTGTCTGACCTTGCTGTCTGATTTAGAAAGTTTTTAATAATGGACAGTAAAATTCATCTTGTAGAGCTGAAGAACCACGAGAAGAAGAAAAAGCAGGAGAACAGTGACTCGGTAGTTGATAAAGGGCTTCCCTGGTGGCTCAGCTGGTAAAGAATCCACCCGCAATGTGGGAAACCTGAGTTCCATCCCTGGGCTGGGAAGATCCCCTGGAGGAGGGAAAGGCTACCCACTCCAGCATTCTTGCCTGGAGAATTCCATGGACTGTATAGTCCATGGGGTCGCAAAGAGTCGGACACAACTGAGCGACTTTCACCCACACTCACCTGTAGACAGTCCCACCTCTGCAGGTCGCAGTTTGTCTTTGCTCTTCCAGTTGTGCTTCTGACTGACCAGCCGTAAACTGGAGATTCCCACGAGCCCCTCTTAGGGTGGATGAACTTGATAGAGCTGTTCACAGAACTCAGGAGAACAAGTCCTTACTAGATTTCTTATAAAAGGGTATAGTTCAGGAATAGCCAGGTAGAAGAGATGCACCGGCAAAATATGGGAAAGGGACACAGAGAGGTCATGCCCTCTCTTGGTGCCACTCCCCACATTTCCAAGTGTTCACCAACCTCAGCCCCACTGTTGAGGGGTTTTTATGGAGGGTTCATTACTTAGGCGTGCTTCATGAAACTGATCGGTCACTGGTGACTGAACTCAATCTCCTGCCGTACCGCCCCCTACCCCCAACATCAGAGGGTGCTGCTGAGATTTCCAAGCCTCTAGTCACATGACTGGTTCTCCAGGCAACCAGTCCCCATCCTTAGGTTACCTAGGAGTTTTCCAAAAGTCACTTTGTTAATATAAACTCAGTTGTGCTGGAAAGGAGCTTGACACCCATTTCACCTTTATGACTCTTAAGCATTTCAGGATATGAGGGCAAAAGGCCAAATATAACCAAAGATACCCCTGTGACTCTTAGATAAGAAATAGCAAGAGTTTTAGGTCTGTGCAAGGAACAGTGAACAATTTCTTATAATTTTGTATTTTTATTTAAACCAAAATATCATACCGTCTGCAGTCGTTGTGACTTTTCACTTGCAGTCGTTTAGGGTGAGTAGTAGACAAAGGACTGGAAATATTTTCTTTTTTTTTTTATTGGGGTATTACACCGTTGTGTTAGTTTCTCCTGTACAACAAAGTGAATCAGCTATGTGTATACATATGTGTCCTCCTTCTTGGACCTCAATCAACCCTGCCACCCATCTCATCTGTCTAGGTCAGGGCACCAAGCTGGGGTTCCTGTGCTATATAGCATGTTCCCACTAGCTATCTGTTTTACACGTGGCTTGCACATATGTCAATCTGCTTCCCAGTTCATCCTCCCCTTCTGGGTCCACAAGTCTGCTCACTAAGTCTGTGTCTCTATTCCTATCTTCCATCTGTACTGTTTTTCTAGATCCCACATATATATGTTAATATATATTTGTTTTTCTCTTTGTGACTTATTTCACTCTATATGACAGACTCTAGGCCCGGAAATACTTATAATGGTTGTAGGGGAATAAATATTTGCAATAAAATACTTGCAATTCATATATTTCCATTAATTTGTTTGTGTTTAGAATAATAACGCATGTGGACTCAAGTAAGTTCTTTCTGATACAGTTTTGTGCCTTTTCTCTCCTTTTTAGACCATTGGAACGATCCAGTGAAGATGTGGATATAATCTTCACACGGCTGAAAGAAGTTAAAGCTTTTGAGAAATTTCACCCAAATCTCCTTCATCAGATTTGTTTGTGTGGTTATTATGAGAATCTGGAAAAAGGAATAACATGTAAGAAATGCAACCCCAGTGGTGTGTTTTCATGTATAAGTTTGTGCTCATTTGTGGTTATGCTGTGGGGATGGACAGCAAATGGGGTATCTTTGTGCCAAATAGTTGAGCTCAATTAAAGGTATGAGGTTGACATTTCTCTCTGCTTGTTTATTCAGTTCTAAATCAGCATTTCCTTAACTCCTTTGTCCATAGCATGCAAATGGTTCTTCCAGGGCAGTCTCCTTTTCAGATGGAGCTGGAAGGATTTATATATTCAGAGATCCTTAGAAGTTTTAATATATAATTATTTTCTGTAACCCAAGAAATATGGGAGCCAATAGGATATTAAATGGGCTTCCCTTGTGGCTCAGTGGTAAAGAATCCACCTGCCAATGCAGGAGATACAGGAGTCTCAGGTTCAGTCCCTGGGTTGGGAAGATCCCCTGGAGAAGGAAATGGCAACCCCCTCCAGTATTCTTGCCTGGAGAATCCCATGGACAGAGCAGCCTGGTGTCCATGGGGTCATAAAGAGTCGGACACGACTTAATGACTAAACAGCAACAGCAAAAGGATGTTAAATAAGATAAAAGTTTCTCAACTTTTATGATAATAGTCGTTTTAAAAATTAAAGCACAGCTGGTTTACAATAGTAATGTTTGAATTAACCTCACTGGTAACATCTATTCCAGATGTGACTAAGGGGTGGGGGGAGTAAAATGATAGAGTGACAGCAGCATTTAAAAAACTATACAAGTATATTCTCATTAAAAAAAGTAATGTTATTGCCATCTGTTGTGATGCTTCATACTGCAGTAACAGAAAACTCCCATCCACTGGCTTAACTATGACTCCTATAAGGAGGGAACATCAGTTATCCGTGTATAAGCAGTCCTGAGGTAGGATGGCTTCAGGGCTGGTTGATTAAGTGGCTCAATGACGTTATTAGGGTCTCAGGTTTCTCTCGTATTTTTGTTGGTTTATTTGTTTTTCCGGTTTGTCTTGTGGCTTTGGCTTTTGTTCCTGCTGAAAGACTATTTCTTATCTCTTTTTCAGAAGTCCCCCAGCAGACTTCCTGTATTGTTTCAATGGCCAGAATTGCATCATGTGCCGCTGATTAAACCAATCACTGGCACAGATTATGGGACCACATGATTGATTTAGACCAATCATGGTTACCCCAGTGGAGCTAGGGAAGAAACTCATATGCTCTCAGTGTTTGGCCTTGTGGAGGAGGGTGGGAACTTGTATATAATCCATGTTCAGGGCATGATTTCAAATGGGGGAACTAAGAGGGTTTGTCACAACATCATTGTAGAAAATTTAGAAGACAAAACTAATGTCACCTACAATCCCCAAATCCAGAGATGGCTGTTTACATTTTGTGTGTGTCCTTCAAGATATTTGCCTATGTGCACAACAAAGCAGAGTCACACTTCTGTTTAAAAAATCATCCACACATATTGTTTTCAAACCAATATTTTTTATTCTTACTCAGTGGGAATATTATTTTTTAAGATGTAAGACTCTTGTCTTCTATTTCTTACAGCCGTTTTCAAAATGAGTCTTCTATGATGTGTAATGTGAATTTGACTGGCGAGTAATAATATCTTTGGGGGCCAAGAAGTTCATGAAAAGCAAAGCCCTAATTCTAAAATAAGTCACTTACAAAGGCTAGGAATAGCAGAGTTACTGGCAAGGCCAGCTATAAACTCATCAATCCCCCATCTTAAGCTTGTCATTGCACCTGGTGGGATACCATTGTTGTTCTTGCCTTTCCACAGCATGCTTTAGTCAGAGAGTTTAGAACAGCTTGTCATCATTAATTATGGCTCCCAGAAGCTTCCTCTTATGCAGTGAGCCTTAGCCTTGCCAGAACTCAACTATCCCACTGAGTTGTCATGTGATTTTTCATTGAGCCACTTGACTTCTGAGGTAGGATTCTGTGAAAAGAATTTTAAAATATCAGATCATTCCATCTAGTTATTTAGCTAGAATATTTAAAAAGGATAGTTGGGTTTGCATGAGATTTTTGAACCACTGTTTCAGAATGACTTTCCAAACTATTGGTCTTAACTAGGATGTGGGAACTAAGATTCTTACTAAATAGCTAAATGTTTTGTCTCTGAGATACAAAAGTAAAGCAAAACTGAGTTCAGAAATTTCTGATGAGAATAATTTCCAAAGAGTGGTTACCTCCTGATACCTTAAAGCAGTGAATTTATTCAACAATCTAGCAAATGGACAATGACAATATGGTAGTTAAAATTTTTTTAACAGATTTTATTTTTCTTAATCAGTCATTGGTTAGCTTAAAATGAGACATTCTATTCTAGAAAACATGTTGTTTTTTAATATAAATAGATTTGTGAAATTAGGGTGGTGATCTGGTTTTGTTGACTCACATAGTCTTTTTAACACATACCCCATCTAGAGTAATGATTTTCTAAGTATCACAATACAATGAAGTGTATTTAAGGCAAATTATAGAGAATACCAGATAATGCTTCTTACATTCAAAGGGTCTTATTGCCTTTAGGGTTATCATCCCTTATTGCTACTGTGTAAATATAAAAGAGTTCTGTTTAATAGAGTTCTGCTTCATGGAATGTTGAATAAATAGGATATTGCTTTGTTGATAGAAGAGGGAAAGAAAATTATGGTATGTTCTGGTGGGAATAGATAGAGGAATCTCATCTAGGTCCAAGTTAGGCTCAGAACAGTCAGTTAAAGATTATCAGATTACGTGGTAAAACCGACTTATATTTGGCCTACTTACCTGCCTGTTTCTTTTCCAGTATTTCGCCAAGGTGATATTGGAACCAACTGGTATGCTGTCCTGGCAGGATCTTTGGATGTTAAAGTTTCTGAGACCAGCAGTCACCAGGTAAGATACAATATTCTTTTTATTTTCTTAAAGTAAGATTTACTACTACTATTTTTAATGATACATTATCCCTCTGTCTTGAATGCTATCAAAATTACATTTTCAAACCCATTTCATCTTTCCCGTATAGTACAGAGTTCCATAAGTATGTGTTGAATTCCTTTATTAAGTTACTCAAGAAATATACATAGTGAATGTTTTCCACGATTTAAAGGCGCCAAGTGTGGGAACACAAAATGCTGAAGCACACGGGCTGCCCTCCAGGAGCCTGCTGTCTATTAGAAAAATGCAAACAAGTCCACAGCAGAGAGAAACTGCTATTGTGTGAGGTGAAATGTGAGCAAAGGGGAAAGAGAAGCAAGTCTTCCGACGTTCCGCCTTAGATCCTGCTGAATCTGGTTTCCTGACTTTTCTCTGTCCTAGAAGTGACCCCCTTGTCAGCTTTAAAAATTTTTTAATTTATTTTTGACTGTGCTGGGTCTCCATTGCAGCGTGGGCTTTTCGCTAGTTGTGCTGAGCGGGGGCTGCTCTTTGCTGTGGCGTGCAGGCGTCTCATTGCAGCGGCTTCTCTTGTTGCAGAGCACAGGCTCTAGGGCACACGGCCTCAGTAGTTGCAGTTCCTGGGCTCCAGAGCACAGGCTCAATATCTGTGACGCATGGGCTTCATTGCTCTGTGGCGTGAGGGATCTTTCCGCATCAGGGATTAAACTTGTGTCTACTTCATTGGCAGGCAGATTCTTTACCACTGAGCCACCAGGGAAGCCCCTCTTATCAGCCTTTTATGAGCTCCAGCAGTGCAGGGAAACACGGTCAAGGCAGTCTCCCGAATAACTCTCACTATTTCTCTACCTCATCTCGTTCAATGTGGAGGGCCAAGAAACATGGGCTTACTTTTATCTTCATTAGTCACCTCTGAGGAGCATGGCATCCTAGTAGATAACACTCATATTCTTACTGCCTCCTCCATCATATTTGTGAGTTTGGAATGGGTCCTAGATTCTCCTTTCACATCTGCAGTGACCCTTTCTCCATCATTATTCCACATGGCCTGCATGGACAGAACCTTCCTGTGTAGAGCCAAGAACCTCTTGTCTCAAAAGGACTCCCTTCTAGAGGCTGCCGTCCAGCTTCGGGATGAAAATGTTCTGAGTCTTATATTCACATATATCAAGATTCAGATAAAAACTGAAGGAAGAGAATTGGCTAACTGTAAAATTGTAAAGAAATATCAAGAAAGGTCAAAGAATTAAAGGGACAAATAATCTCCAGCCAAATACCACGTTTAAGATGGTGCTTCTAAGCCTTTTCCACATGTGGCACACTTCAACTGTGAGAAACACCTATGACATAGTCCATTTGAGATTTAACTTTACAGGAATTTGTGTGTATATTGGAGTTGTGGGCAGTTACCATCTAATGAGTGGATTGTTGGTTAGTGGACATTTGGAGTTTGGCATATAGTAGCCTGTGTTCTACCCATTGTTATGGGGGGTAGCACCCAAGTTCTCCTTACCTGATAGTATACCTTTTCAGTGCATCAGTGCATCGAAAGTTCCATGAGGAACTGCCTGGAATCTGTGCCTGACGGCCTCGATGGTACTGTCCTCATGCCCTCTCTTGCAGGGTCAGTTCCATCTTGAATTTCAGAGCAGCCCAAAGGAAGAGTTTTGATTCTTAAAAGTTGCCTCCGTTTTCCAGTGGGACTGGGAACAGCTAGCAGTTCTTGGATATTTGTTATGTGCTGGGCAATGTTCTAAGCACTTAACTGTATTTACTTGCTCCGTTAACCCTGTGAGGTGGGTCACATTACTGTTTCATTTTACAGATGAGGAAACCAAGTCCTTGAGTGGTGAACTAACTCGTTTCAACTAACATATCTAGAAATTAGGGGGACCAAGACGAATAAGCAGTTAGTCGCTTGAACCCATGCTCTTAGCCAGCACTCTGTACTGTTTGACTCAGAAGAAATATGATGAAGCAATTCCCTCTCTCTTGGCTATTTCTCATCCTTTCAGATCTTCTCATGCCCTGTATCTCTGCATACTTTCTGCCTGCAGACTGCTGTCCAGGTGGGTCCCCTCCAGACCTTTTTGCTCAGAGTTGCTTCTGATGCTAACCTTCACCTGCTCTTACTTGCATGGATGTGTGGAGGGGACAGGGCCTAGAAAAGGATGATCTTCCTTCCGCCTCTGTATGGTTCTCAATGAGTAATGATGGTGATGCAGAAAAGCTGAATAAAGTTAAAGGTGAGGAAAGAGGAAAAGGAAGGAACATGAAAATTAGGAAGGAGAAAGGTGAGAAGGGAAGAAAAGCAGGGGAGATGAGGAAAGAAGAATTGGAAAAGGCAGAGGAGATGTTCTTAAGGGATGATGAATATCATCAGCAGTGATGTGCTGACACCTCAGATGTTAAAAGCTGGCATGAGATTTTGATGGTATTAAAATAGTATTTGGCTAGGGGCTGCTGGAGTATTGCCCTTGACCAGTTATCTCTCAGCATGGGGTGCTTGCCAAGAATAGCTGAGCAACAGCTGTGGATTTAAAAAAGATTTTAGTAAACTTTAACTTTAGATTCTAGCTATGGCTTTGACCTCAGCCCCAGTGAAGAGAACTTTCCTAAGTTGGGCTTTGTTGTTGTTCAGTCACTAAGTTGTGTCCGACTGTTTGTGAGCCCATGGGCTGCAGCACACCAGGCTTCCTTGTTCTTCATTATCTCCCAGAGTTTGCTCGAACTCACATCCATTGAGTTGGTGATGCTATCTAATTATCTCATCCTCTGTCGCCCCCTTCTCCTTTTGCCTTCAATTTTTCCCAGCATCAGGGTCTTTTCCAGTGAGTTGGCTCTTTGCATCAGGTGGGCAAAGTATTGGAGCTTCAGCTTCAGCATCAGTCCTTCCAATGAATATTCAGGATTGATTTCCTATAGGACTGACTGGTTTGATCTGTTTGATCTGTAGTCCAAGGGACTCTTAAGAATCTTCTCCAGCACCACAATTCTGTAGCATCGGTTCTTTGGCATTCAGCCTTCTTTATGGTCCAGCTCTCACATTTGTACATGACTACTGAAAAAAACCATAGCTTTGACTACACAAACCTTTGTCAGCAAAGTGATGTCTTTGCTTTTTACTATGCTGTCTAAGGTTTGTCATAGATTTTCTTCTAAGGAACAATAGTCTTTTAATTTTGTGGCTTCTATCACTGTCTGCAGTGATTTTGGAGCCCAAGAAAATAAAATCTGTCACTGGTTCCACCTTTTCTCTTCTATTTGGCATGAATCTGGGCTTAGTCTTCTCATATTCTCATATTAGCTTTATACCAAAGCTGGCTTATTGCTTCTTCTTCTGTGTACTTCACAGAATCCAGCCACAGTACCAGCCAGAGTTTTCTGAATTGATTTGTAGAGTCCCTAAGAAATAAGGAAGAGAAGACACATTGACCTCTATGGCCTCCAACCCTCCAGAGAAATAGACAGAGGACCCAGCCTTCCAGCCAACTCTGATGGACAAGATAGAATTCCAACCAAACGAGAGGAAGGAGCTAAGGAGAATGAGTGAGATGGCTGAAACTTCTCTCATGGCAAGTTACTCAAAAGAGAGAAACAAAAAGGTCACTGCTCTCTGCTCTGGCCTTGTAATGGACTCTGGGTCTCTTCCCAGTAGTGATGTAGCCAAATCAAGGCAGTGGGTTAGCCCATCAGAGTGGTACCCTGTATAAGTCAGGGTTCTCCAGATAACCAGTATCAACAGGTGATAGAGAGATATATAGATAGTAGACATTTCCTTTAGGAAATTGGCTTACATGATTGTGTGCACTGCCAAGTTTGAAATCCTCAGGGCAAGCTGGCAGGCTGAAATTCAGGTGAAAGCAGATGATGCAGACTTTACAGACTTTAATCTTTTTTTTTTTCCATTTATTTTTATTAGTTGGAGGCTAATTACTTTACAACATTGCAGTGGTTTTTGTCATACATTGAAATGAATTAGCCATGGATTTACATGTATTCCCCATCCTGGTCCCCCCTCCCACCTCCCTCTCCACCCCATCCCTCTGGGTCTTCCCAGTGCACCAGGCCCGAGCACTTGTCTCATGCATCCAACCTGGGCTGGTGATCTGTTTCACCCTAGATATACATGTTTCGATGCTGTTCTCTTGAAACATCCCACCCTCGCCTTCTCCCACAGAGTCCACAAGTCTGTTCTATACATCTGAGTCTCTTTTTCTGTTTTGCATATAGGGTTATCGTTACCATCTTTCTAAATTCCATATATATGTGTTAGTATACTGTAATGATCTTTATCTTTCTGGCTTACTTCGCTCTGTATAATGGGCTCCAGTAGACTTTAATCTTAAAGTTGGGTATTCAGATAGAAATTTCTGTGCTGCATTCTGGAAGCAGAATTCCATCTTTGGGAAACCTCGAGGGAGACATTGGCTTTTAAGACCTTCAAGTGATTGGGTGAGGCCCACCCATGTTATGGAGGGTAATCTGTTTTAAAGTGCTGCTTGCACATGTTAATCAGGCCTAAAAAATACTTTTACCTCAGAATCTAGGCTATTTGACTAAACAGCTGGTCTCCGTAGTCTAGCTAAGTTGACACATAAAATTAATTATCATATGCCCCTATTGTGGGGGGCAAAGTGGTTTGGGGCGATGGGCCATGGGAGGAGAAGCCAGAAAAGACCTGGAATCCCTGGAGACCAGTAGCAGCACGGCCCATTGCCTTCATGTCTCACACTGTGCTGGGGTCCCCTGGGTATTCATTGACTTCATCTTTTACGTCCCATTTTACAGGGGCTTGAAAACAAGGCTCAGTGACCTTAGGTATAACACTCCCGAGGCCCCACACATGTCCATGGCCACATTCAGATTTGAATTTCTGTCAGACACACTCCCAATTTCACGTTCTTCTTGCTTCTCATACACAAATAAAAGGTGGGTGGGAACCGAAAAAGAAAAAGAAGAGAAGTCTAAAGAGACTAAGAATTAAGGAAACATTAGTG